AGCGCACAAAACAGTGTGTGTTGTCCAATCCCAGACGTGTCCCGAGTTATTGTATTAGGGATGGGGAGTTATACAGGCGTCTTGGGAAAGATAAGAATGATGAAGGCGGAGTAGTATGGAGGGCTTGTGTACCACCATCTAAGGTTAAGGATGTGTTGGTAGAGAACCATGACTCTCCTATGGCGGGCCACCTGGGAGTTAAGAAAACAATTGCCCGGGTTGGGGAAAACTATTTCTGGCCGGGTTGGCGGCGTGCCGTGAAAGAATACGTTAGGTCCTGTGTCACGTGCCAGGAGTTCAAGGTATTACAGCAGAAACCGGCAGGACAATTGTACTTTCGAAACCCTCAAGGACCTTAGCATTCCGTGTCGGTCGACTTGATGGGTCCATTCCCCAGATCCAAAGGTGGGCATCGTTTTCTTGCAGTTTTCCAGGACCTGTTTAGCAAGTGGGTTGAAATAAGACCCCTGCGGTCAGCTACGGCCAAGGCCGTAGCTAGTGCATTCAAGGACGGGCTATTGCTGCGTTTTGGCGCCCCTGTGATTCTTATGAGTGACAATGGAACCCAGTTCGTCTCTAAGGTGTTCCGAGACCTGACGAAAGAGTGGGGAATCGAGTTCCGACAGACTGCCCCTTACAGCCCGCAGTCCAATCCGGTTGAGCGGCCAAACCGGGTTATCAAAACTATGATAGCCCAGTTTGTTCAGGATAATCATCGTACTTGGGATGCACTCGTTGCCGAGTTCCAGTACGCGATGAACACCGCCGTTCACGACTCCACTGGGTTTTCACCCGCCAAACTGTGTTTTGGGAGAGATCTCAGGCTACCTAGGGCAATCGGGTCGTCTCTGACCACAGGACCGGAGCCTGGAGATGACCGTGAGAGAACCGTGGACGAGCTATATAGTGACCGGGAGCGGGCGTTTAAGAGGTTGTACGATAATTGTCGACAGAACTTGAAGAGGGCTTTCCAGCGCCAGTCTAAATATTATAATCTTAGACGACGTGAGGTGCAATACCATCGAGGTGATCAAGTCATGAGAAGACTACATGTCTTGTCCTCAGCGGCTGAAGCTATAGTGGGCAAACTGGCCCCTAAGTTTCAGGGTCCTTGTACCGTAGTCAAGCGAGTGGCCCCTAGTATGTATGAGGTAAAGGACGAGGGTAGGAGAGAGACCCATGTCGTCCATGTTAAAGACCTTAAGACCTACCACGAAAGAACCGATGCTTAGTCATTCTTGGTTATGCATGGTGGTGGTTGGTTAGATAGGACGTTTGTGCTTGCTATTCTTTTGATGTTTTGTTTAATCAAGTAGTTTTGTTTTTGTTTTGCTTTGAGACCCGTGGTAAAAGAGGAATCATTGGGTTAAGAGCCGGAGTATTTTGTTTTGGCCGGAGTTCAAAGATTTTTTTTCTTTTTGGCCGTTTTCTTTTTTTCATCTTGATGTAAGTGGGGGATGTAACGAGTTATTTTCCCTAGGGGGGTATATTTTTGCTATTTGGCCGCGCACCGATTGTTGAGGTGAGCGAGCGGCGGCAGCGAGGCTAGCGAGCGCCCTTTGACCCGGCTTATCAGTGCCGATAAGCCTGGGATATCCTAGATCTTCAGGACAGTATAGGACGGACATTCGAGTCAATTCAACGACGTTCGGGTCATTAATGGAGTTTCAATGGCTGTTGTATCAAGTAGGGATGGACGAGATTGGATTTTTAGTTCGAGACGAGACGAGACGAGATTTTTTATTTCTCATAAAATTTCGAGACGAGATCGAGACGAGATTTCTCTTCTCATACACAACGGGAAATGCACGTTCGAAATTTTTACCTGATTTTGTAACATTGTTAGATGACTGTTTAAATACTAAAATAATGATAATAGGCAAGAATATTTACAATCTTTCATTAAATAACATTAGCATAACATTTTTTTATTAATCACGCCTAACTTATTAAAAATGCCTACGATTAGGAAACATGGTGATATCAGTTAGGATAGAGTTCAACTTATCCTAAAATAAAATAAATCATAAAATAAAAGCAATATTAATTTTTATAAAATAGTTACTTGTTTTGACTTTTTTTATAGTAATAAAACATTCCTCACACTGCTTACACTTAACAAAACTTCTCAAATGTTATTAAAGTAATATTATTAAAATAATGAAAGTAATATTTACATTAAAAGAATTAATTAAATAAGAACGCCTTCGAAAAGGAAACACAACTACAACACGCTCCTGTATTGCGGGTATTGCATTGACTTTCTGCAGGCGTTTTTAATTTTTTTTTTTTTTTTTTTTTTTTATTCTCGTCTCGATAAAAATCTCGGCCAAAAAGTAATCTCGTCTCGTGTAACGAGATTGAAAATTTCCCGAAAATTTCCCGAAATTTCGAGACTTGACCATCCCTAGTATCAAGTAAATATAGTCACAACTGCAGTGGCTGATCTACTTGAGTTTTGATAACCGAGAAAAATACCGTAAATCAGTGTTGTATAAGACTGGGAAACTTACATTTTTAAATCATCGTCACCAATAGCCTACAATAGAGTATTACACTCATTAATGGTGTTTCAATGGCTGTTGTATCAAGTAAATAGTCACAACTGCAGTGGATGATCTACTTGAGTTTTGATAACCGAGAAAAATACCGTAAATCAGTGTTGTATAAGACTGGGAAACTTACATTTTTAAATCATCGTCACCAATAGCCTACAATAGAGTATTACACTCATTAATGGTGTTTCAATGGCTGTTGTATCAAGTAAATAGTCACAACTGCAGTGGATGATCTACTTGAGTTTTGATAACCGAGAAAAATACCGTAAATCAGTGTTGTATAAGACTGGGAAACTTACATTTTTAAATCATCGTCACCAATAGCCTACAATAGAGTATTACACTCATTAATGGTGTTTCAATGGCTGTTGTATCAAGTAAATAGTCACAACTGCAGTGGATGATCTACTTGAGTTTTGATAACCGAGAAAAATACCGTAAATCAGTGTTGTATAAGACTGGGAAACTTACATTTTTAAATCATCGTCACCAATAGCCTACAATAGAGTATTGCACTCATTAATGGTGTTTCAATGGCTGTTGTATCAAGTAAATAGTCAAAACTGCAGTGGATGATCTACTTGAGTTTTGATAACCGAGAAAAATACCGTAAATCAGTGTTGTATAAGACTGGGAAACATACATTTTTAAATCATCGTCACCAATAGCCTACAATAGAGTATTACACTCATTAATGGTGTTTCAATGGCTGTTGTATCAAGTAAATAGTCACAACTGCAGTGGATGATCTACTTGAGTTTTGATAACCGAGAAAAATACCGTAAATCAGTGTTGTATAAGACTGGGAAACTTACATTTTTAAATCATCGTCACCAATAGCCTACAATAGAGTATTACACTCATTAATGGTGTTTCAATGGCTGTTGTATCAAGTAAATAGTCACAACTGCAGTGGATGATCTACTTGAGTTTTGATAACCGAGAAAAATACCGTAAATCAGTGTTGTATAAGACTGGGAAACTTACATTTTTAAATCATCAACACCAACAGACTACAATCGAGGATTTCACTCATTAACGGTGTTGTATCATGGCTGTTGTATCAAGTAAATAACCACAACTGCAGTGGGTGATTGCAGGTGTTGCTGCGATCCCAGAAGACCTTTACTATTTCGTTGTGGTCGTTACAGTGTTTTTTTTCTGCTAAACTCTCTTTTCCAATATGTCACTTTTGATTTGACTCACCGTATTGCGCTGCCATCATTAGACCATAAGTAGTTAGGGCAGGTATGTTGGGTCCACCAGGTCTCTTATGGGGAATAGATTTGTCTAGTTAAATAGTAGGAATTTGATGATGTCACATTGACAATAATGTGTGGTACAGTAATTGTTGTAAGAAAACCATGAATGTAGGATAATATCCATTTCCATAGTAATATCAATGTATTAAAATTTAAAATAATGGTTTAATGGTTTAGATACAATTCTGAGAAGAAAACAAAAAAAATTTGGTAGCAGCATACCGTACCGATTTTGTACTGAGAACCAAGGTACAGAATATTGTACCGTACCGAACCGTGCCGACCTTAAATTTTCTATACTACAAACCCCTAAAAAATAGGTATGTTTTGTAGACATGAAATAAAATTCTATCAATAACACGCTCTAAATGCAAAATAATCACACATATACCCATAGCCTACTTGGGTAGTATTTAGTAAGATACAATGTACATGTGATTTTCATCTGTTTATGTGATGTATATACAAAACCTACCAACTAAAACATTGTCCCGTGACTGGTGTGAAATATAATGGTGGGCATATTTAAAGCAAGATACAGAGGTAAATATTATAATCATTATTAATTATAGTTCATATTGGTCTGGTTCAAAAAGCCCTAGATAAACTAAATTAAACTTGTAAATGTGACAGTTTGCGATATGATTCTTTACAATAAGGCTAGCATCCGCTTCAGCTCGTGGAATAATATCTCTGTCATGCGACCGATGTTATAAAAAAAGTTATCTTGATTCAACTTAAAATTTCAAAATCGTGGCCATTTTGAAATATTTATTTAAATCAAGATATATTTTTTTTTTTTCAAAAATGGATCTCTTCTATCTTAACATAATTACCAAGCTTTAAAAAGATCGGTTGAAAAAATTCAAAGATAAAAATGTTTAAGTAAAAAATACAAAATGGCGGATATCTGGTTAACGAAGCGATTTCGGACAAATGTTATTCTTGATTTTCTCTTTATTTTGAGCCATGGAATCACTACGTAAATTATGTCCTCACCTTTTTTGAACGACCTGTATATTCCATGAAATAAATCAAATGTGTCGCCGCTCCATGTTAAGCTCGCAACACTCATCCCGGGCGAGCTGGCTCCTGCCGCCTCTTAATTCTGGATATAATTTTTTCTTTCACCGTTACTTATACCTGAGAATCTATCTGTTGCAGAAGATTTTACTCTAACCTTATATCCCTCATCTTGGCAGATGAGTTCCAGACTGAAGTCCTGTCCCGGACCGATAGTCAGAGCTCCCTCTCTCTCTTCCGTGTCCCACTGGCCTGCAGTCATAGAGTTGCGGACGACTACACGGTCACTGAACCTCGGATTGAAGTGGAACGCTATCACTCGATCTGACATTCCCTCACAGACCAGGTCCACGTTGAACCTGACCATCACAGCACAGTTGGTAACACTAATAATTATATTTTCATTTTCACTCTTTATCCTACAAGGGTTTACTTAAATTAAGGTCAAGGTCCAAGCCAATCTTTAGTCTCGACCAAACAAGTTAGTTCAAATCTGACACCAACTATTGCTGTGTTTTTGACTACCCTCACTACTACATTTAACTTATTTGCCACTTTGATGCAACAATTAGTTTCATTGTAACAATCAACAACCAAGTGATGTAAAATCAATACCTCCTAGGTGATTAGGATAGTTAGGATAGTTTTTATAGTGTCATTTATAGGATACCTGTTCTAGAGGATCCAATAAATTTAATAAATGCTTTAGAGATGTACCAGAGAAATTACACAATAAACCCTTAAAGCTTGCTAAGAGCATTTATAAAGAAATGAAAAAAATAATAGCGTAATTGACATTTATGAGTAGTAATTTATTATTAAGAGATTTTTAATTTGTGTCTTGAACTTCAGTGCGGGAGGAACAAGTTTGATTGACAAAGGATTAGGCGGAGTGGTCCTTGCTCCCTGTTACATTTATTAGTTCAGTCGGTAACTCTATTTCTATTATTTAAGCCCTGATTATAAATATAATTGTGATGTGTCTATACCAGAATGTATGGATTCTTGCTAACAATACCATTGATAGCCATGATACACCCGTCAGCTGCTAGATCTTGATTTCAAATTTCATAATTTTTTTTTAACAAAATTACATAATTTTGTCTTTGTATTGGTTAAAACACACCAAACCCCTGCTTTATATAACTATACAAAGTAATTGTAGGGTGTTTTTGAAATAAATAAAATACCCCGCTGCAGCAAACCTGCAGAATGAGTAACTTTTTATTTGCCTGGTCAGATTTTCAATCAAATATTTACACATTTTTATATGATTGTTGTATAAATAAATACTTTAATACTGTACTTTTATTTTTCAATGAAATGGCGACCATACAATAGTAGGTATTTTAAGCCAAGTATGAATGGAGATGAGTGTAGGATGAGTGGCGCGATCTTGTAGTCTTGTTAGGGACTAAGGCCGACTTATTCCTTAGAAACAGCTGTTAATTAATAGCCCATACAGCTAATGGCAACTAAGGGACCTACAGTTTATAGTGGAATCCGAGCCACATTTTTGCCTTGGTATATACAAATTGGTCTAATTTTCAGGATAGTACTGCGGATAGTCATATTACTCACTCGTGCAGACCTTAATCCACACCAGCGTATAACTATAAACATATCAGATTTATTCCCTATTTAAATAACATTAGGTTTAATGAGTAATTACTGTACTCATGTTCTGAACTTTGTTGTACTGTAAGGAATGTAACAAAGTGTGTTTATAGGCCTAGTGAAATTTTAATACCTTGGTATGAAATAAATAATTTACCAGATTTCATCAAAATATATCCATAAAAAAGCTAATTACAACATAAGAGCTTTATTCTCTATAAGATTAACATGGGAATTTCAAACTTATAGTTTTTTTTTTAATTTCCTTCATAACCTGTTTGGACCTATGCCCAAAAAATAAACTTGACTTAACATGAGAAGGTTGATCTGTGGTCAATACATTTATTTCACTTTAGGCCTACACGTACTAACCAACAAGCAGGTAAATTGACATAATTTTTCTTACTGTAACAAACTATTTTGAATTCATTAACATATCATTTATCTGGCCAGATTTGTATTATTATTTTAACAAATTAGTTTTATGTTTAGGGGTTTATAAAGGAAATAGATGGAATGTGGCCACATAGTCTTAAGATTTCTCCTAATGTAAAAACAAATAATTGTTCACTGTTCACTTCAGAGAAAAAACTTTAGAGATCTTAACTACTTTTACACATTGACTTTAAGGATAATTAATAACTCAAAAGAAAAAAATACCCCCGCCGCAGCAAACCTGCCGACTAAGCGAATTTCCATTTGTCTGAATTAATTTTCAATTAAATATATTTTAATAACATTAGGTTTAACGAGTACCTAGGTTTGCTGCTACAAGGAAACAAATAAAGTGTGTTTTTTAGTAAAATATTGATAGCTTAGTACAAAATAAATAAATTTGCCAAGTTTGATCAAATTATATCCATAAACAAGCAACTACAACATTTGACAATATTCTCCATATAAATAACATGGAAATTTTAAATTTACAATTTTTTTTAATTTTCTCCGTTACTAATAACCGAACAAAAATACTTTTATATACTAAATTATTTGTTTTTTAAGCTCTTTAAAAAGGTCTAAAGAGAAATTGGGAAATTTTGTGTTTTGAGGGTCAAAAGTGAGAAAAATCAATTTTTACCCCATAAAACCCCCCGTAAAGCCCCGTTCCCATTGCCCGATCATGCTGGTTCGCGAACTCATTCAAGTTTATCCCGCTTTACACCTTTAAACCAAATTTCATCAAAATCGGACAAAAATTACTCAAGTTATCGTGTTCACGGACGTATATATAAATCTATATATATATATATATAAATCTATATATATATATATATATATAAATTTGAACGAATGGTGTTTTTGGCCTCTGGGGACATCAAAATGAAAAAATAAATCGGTCCCGGGTCTAGGTCTTACCGTGCCACCTATGTAGAGTAAGGGGCAGCCGAGTTGGCGGAAAGCTCTACTACCCATTTCGCCTGCCAAATGTGTACTATCCTGCGTGAAGACATTGTTTCACAACCACTGTCTCTTGACCCTTTTCGTTCTGTACTGTACTACGATAGCTACAGTAAATATATTTACACACAAGTAGTTTATTCGTACTATAACAATTTATTTTAATGTCAAAACTAAATCGAGTAAAATTTAATATTTGGTCTAATATTGTTTTAGAGTCTATAAAAAAAGTAGTTTTATGTATCTGTTTTAATCGATATTTGAAATTCTATCTTACTTAAATGTAAGCAAAATGCAGTATTATAATGCTACATTAATAACGGAATACTGCATTATATACAGGGTGTTTTTTTAAAAACTTGCATCTTTATTTATGTAAAAACCGCAATAGATAGAAATATGCAGTTTGCGGGAATCATCTATTGACGTAGGGGGACCAATTTTTTTTAATTCAACGTTACATTCACATTCCCCCCCTTTCCCCCCCTGCCCACAACTTAATTTTTTTAAATAGCAAGGTACCCCTTGTGACATATCAAATAAAAGAGCATGAAAAAAGAAAATATTTGATGAAAAAAAATTGAAAATCGGTTCATAAATTTGTGAGATATTCCCCCCCTCACCCCCCCGGAACTTAATTTTTTTTTTAATAGCAAAGTACCCCTTGTGACATATCAAATGAAAGAGCATGAAAAAAGAAAAATTTTGGCGAAATTTATTTTTCATTTGATATGTCACAAGGGCGGGTACCTTGCTATTAAAAAACAAGTTATGGGTAGGGGAAAAGGGGGGTGATTATCTCACAAATTCATAAGCCGATTTTAAATTTTTTTTCACCAAAAATTTTCTTTTTTCATGCTCTTTCATTTGATATGTCACAAGGGGTACTTTGATATTAAAAAAAAATTAAGTTCCGGGGGGGTGAGGGGGGGAATATCTCACAAATTTATGAACCGATTTTCAATTTTTTTTCATCAAATATTTTCTTTTTTTATGCTCTTTTATTTGATATGTCACAAGGGGTACCTTGCTATATAAAAAAAATAAGTTGGTGGCAGGGGGGGAAAGGGGGGGAATGTGAATGTAACGTTGAATTCAAAACAATTGGTCCCCCTACGTCAATAGATGATTCCCGCAAACTGCATATTTCTATCTATTGCGGTTTTTACATAAATAAAGATGCAAGTTTTTAAAAAAACACCCTGTATAATATTATGTTTTAACAGTTTTTACAGTATTAAAGTACAAGCACAATAATGCATATAATTATTCTTAATTATATGCATTATCATTGCATCACATCCAAACGAGGTCCCATAGCGGGGCCTTGGTCGGAATCACATATACTGTTTACTGCCAGGCAAATCGCCTCAACTTGCCAACTCGCACAGCTGTTAGATGAGGGACCGTTTCCGGGAAACGCATAACAATTGGTCAGGTTTTTAAATTCGTCGACTCGCTCCTCAGTTGCATCTTGGAGAAAGTGTAGAGAAGATCGTTTCGCAGTGTTGAGTGACAACAGTGGGTTTAAGTGTAAAAACTTTATTTATCTTCAGTTTTTTTTTTAGTTATTAGGTGATAACATTTGAGAGAAGTGTTTTTAAAGTGATAAGTTGTGTTAGTCAATATAAATATTCTTTTTCGATAATGATGGGTAAATACTAAACAAGACCTTGTTTTATTTAGGATTAGTTTTATTTTTTAACATAATTTTTGTATAGGCCTATGACAGTGATAAAAAATGTCTAAAGTTGGGGGAAAAGGTAAAATTCTACATAGCCATGCACGGGAAATCGTTTTCAATGTTTTTAATTATTTTCAAGGAAGTGAACCAAATATGCCAAAATACAAAGCGATTGAGAAAGTTCATGAAGCAACAATCGTGGCCCCTCGAACAATAGAACGGATTGTAGCTGAAGCAAAAAAATGTGAAAATGTTTTGAGACCAAACTTTATTTCTCCGAAAAAAATTATAAAGAGAAAGAAAACCGTCTGCTGCCTTGATTCATTCGATCTAGATGCGTTGAGGCGATTAATAAATAATTACTACTTGATCCACAAAAGTCATATTACAATAAAAAAACTAATGGAAGAAATGAATGCATCAAATTTAAATTTCAAAGGAAGTTCAAGGTCTTTAAGAAGAATTCTATACAAAATCGGGTTTGCATGGAAAAAGACTGAAGATAACAGAAAAATTTTGATTGAAAGACATGATGTAAAACTTCTTCGAATAGCATACTTACGAAAAATAGCAGAGTATCGAGAGCAGAAAAGGAACATTATATACACAGATGAAACATACATTCACAGTACACATACTAAATCAATGTCATGGTCCGACACAAAAAATAGAAATGCTGGCCTCAAAGAGCCCGTGTCTAAAGGGAGTAGACTAATTATTGTTCACGCTGGATATAAAGAGGGCTTCATTCCTAACGCTAAATTAATGTTTAAATCAGGACTTAAGACTGGAGATTATCATGATGATATGAATGCTGTAAATTATGTTAAGTGGTTGAAAGAGAAGCTGATTCCAAATTTACCTCCCCAGTCGATCGCCGTGATGGACAATGCATCTTATCATAATAAGTTACTTGAAAAGCAACCTACGAGCAACTCCCGAAAAGCTGAATTGATTAAATGGCTGCAAGATCGGCGGATAACTTTTCCTGAAAGAGCTACTAATGCTGAACTGTATGAAATCATAAAAGGAAGAAAAGAAGTAGATAAACAATTCACAGTCGACACTTTATTACGGAAACATGGTCACGCTGTGCTTTGCTTGCCTCCATATCACCCTGAGCTAAATCCAATTGAGAAGATATGGGCCCAGGTTAAGGGAAAAGTGGCGTCCAACAACACTACTTTTAAAATGAACGAAGTTATGGCCCTTACAGACCGCGCATTCTAGGAAATCGGAAAAGAACAATGGGAAAAAGTGTGTCAGCATGTAGAAAACCAGGAAATTAAGTACATGAAGGAAGAACACATGTGGGACAATATAGTGGAGCAGTTTGTAATCAGAATTGAAGATGATGATGATGACGACGACCCTGATTACGACGATCCCGAATCCGAAGACGAGATGGACCTTGGTGTAAACGAGCTGCCACCCGAGTTGGATTAAAGTGAGTTGCAATATTTTATTTAAAACACTAATACTATATATTTTAAGGTGGATTGGCCATAATCATAAAAACAAGCTTGCATGATACGAACGATAGGGGTAATAATGCTCCGGTCAACTCTTAGAACAAATCAGTTTTTATTTATGAAGTAAGTACATTATTCTGTAACTTATAATTATGCCTTAGAAATATACTATCCTAAAGTTGTCTATTTCATGACGATTATATTAGTAGTTTTTACGCTATAGCATGTAAAAGACGACCGTTGTTTGAAAAGTACCAGAACATGAAACCGCTTAAAAACATGAAAATAAAACAAATAAACGTAGAATTAAATTTTTAAAATTTCTATCTAACTTATATTTTTAAGTCTACTAAATACATGCAATAACAGCTCAAGCTCAAATAACTACACTTTTGACTCAAGAATAGCGCTACTTGAAAGGGGACGACCGTGACCCATGTTTTAAAACATGTTTTAACATGTTTTAAAAACTACTCTAACCCAGGCTTGCCTGTATAAACATGAAGAGTACTTTGGTTTAGAGTTTTAGTTTTAGTTGCCATCTTGATTGTTTTCTTTTTCTTTTGACGATTGTCATGAACTTTGTACTCAGTTTTAACGACAATAAAGCATTTCATTTCATTTCATTTCATTTCATTTCATTTCATTTCATTTCATTGACCACATGAGAAATGTTTTTAGTAAAGACGGGCCATGAGCCTAGTTTCGCAAAAGGGTAGTAGTTGCCTGCCTGTCCGACACCGCCAACTCGGCTGCCCCTTACTCTAATAGCTACATTGACATTCCTCCTATAGGGAAATTTGCTAAAACAACACTAATTTTGAATTTACTTTCAAACTATATACATTAGGGAAGAGTTCTATATGTGGTGCTTCCTTCAATTCATGATTGGAAAATAGGGTGAGAAAGTGGATACCTCCCCAAATACAAAAAAAGTATTTTTACAGCATAAAACCTCGTTCCATAGTCCGATCATGCTGATTTGCAAACTCTTAACAATGTATGCTGGTTCGTTAACAATACCAACCGATACAAATCTCCAAGAATTGGTGGTATTAAAAATTGGTATCGAGAATCCACACATTCCCAATAATATTATAAATGCTAACATTTTGGGCCAACTAACCTGTCAGCACCGTCATTAACTGTTCCGTTAAGGACCAGACGAGATCCTGGAGCAAAGCCGTTTGTCAATAACCAACTGTTTCCCTGCCTCACATTAAGCTTCTGACAGTACAAACCATCCTTGTACTGAGCTGTCTGTCAACATATCATAGGTCAAAACATTACCAGGCAAGTGACTTTACCTACCTGTACATACACAACAAAATGTATAATACTAATAAATAGGTTAAATACCTTTTCACGTCATCAATCCTAGTAGTTTTTTCAGGATGACTATAGTTTTGAGGCTTGCAGCTCCATATAGAAATCATATGTCTTCATTAATTTGGCATTTTTGTAAAGCTCTTTTAACGTGCTACAACTTTGTTTTTAGGTTATTTCTGATATATTGTATCAATAAAACGTTATCGACAAAAATAACACAAAAATGTTTAAAAATATAGGTTTTTGCAAAATTACGAAAAAGGTACTAAACATACAACAAAAGTGTAAATGTAAGAAAGATAGCATGTAAGCTTATCTTTCAAACAAAAAAAGTTCATTCCGATCCGATACATGGTATGTAAAATATAGTTATTTTTAATATAGCCCTTTCCGCCAATTTAATGACGTCATAACCGGAAACTGCAGTGGGTGCAGACGTGACACCCGAGTTGAAAACACTTATTTAGACACATACATCAACATTGAATGGTAAAACTGTCTTTATAAGACTTGCGAACTGCCCTAGATGCCGGACTAATAGGAGTTTTTGCGCCAAAATTTGTGTTTTTATGAGATTTATCTAGTTTCTTAAAGTAATCTTTTGAGGAAAACATATCGAATTTGGTATTTTTGTAAAGATTTTTAAACGTTCTACAACTTTTTCCATTGGTGCTTTTTGATAAATTGTATCAATAAAACGTTACAAACAAAAATATTAAAAAATACAGGTTTTTGCAAAATTACGAAGAATGTACTAAACATACAACAAATGTGTAAATGTAAAACAGGTAGCATTTAAAATTATCTTTCAAACAAAAAAAGTTCATTCCGATCCGACAAATAGTTTGCGAAATATACGATTAAAAAAAATCAATGGCCGCCATTTTGATGACGTCATAGCTCGAAAACGTACCAGGTGCGAACTTGACACCCAAGTGGAAAACACTTCCTAAGACACCTATATTGAAATGCAAAAGCAAAATTCTCTATACACGACATGCACACAGAACCCTAGTCAGGTCCTGGACTATATGGGGCTGCAAGCCTCCAAACTATAGTCATCCTGAAAAAAACTACTAGAATGGTTAACATGAAAAGGTATTGAACCTATGTATTAGTATTCCATATCAAACCAGGAGGCAAAAACATGGATAAATACCCCCGCTGCAGCAAACCTGCAGACTAAGCGAATTTCAACTTGTCTGATTAACTAAAACTAGTGGTCGTCCAGTGGTCGAAAACTCAACCAAAAACATGTAATATACACGTATTGACTATTGGATACTAAAATAGATCTCTATGGACCAGATGTCGCAATTTTTTTATTAAGAAACGTGTGAGCCAATTACCAAATGCTTGAATTAAATTTATATTTTCTACCTTATTTTTTGTTGCTGACAAATATTATGGGTCATAACAGTTGCTATATCTCATAATAAGTCATTCCATAAGTTTGACTTGATTAAAAAAACATCGTGTATTCAACAGAAATTAGTCATTTAGTTCAGCGCAATCTGTTAGTGGCTCACATCAACTACGACGAACTTAATAAAAAAAAAACTGGTGACAACTTTAACAAGGGGATGGAGTGTAAAGGTTCAGGCTTCTCTATTTTCACCCCACGCTGTAAATAAAACATGTGATTGTAATTTCTTCCATTTGTTTTGATTTTCTGTTTATATTTTGTTGTTATTTCGTCACCAGCATAGCAACCCAAAAAGCCCATGTTAATTTTTTAAAATTTCAAATCCAATTTTTGTGCTTATATTTGAGCCTATTTTAATTTTTAAAGGGATTCTTCACTTCTACTGGAAAATGTCTTTTTAACGGTATGCGTAGAATTTCCCTGCAATGCACACGAGCTGAGAAAAAGGTTTTAAAGAAACATTCTTGCCTATTAATATACAGGGTTAGTAAAAAGTGTGGAGACCCCCTGTTATTTTTTTTACAGCCCATACTAGAAAAACCAAACTCGGCACACCTTTATGGTATGTTATGAAGTACTTTTTGGGCATAACCGCCACTTGGTGTACATCTCCAAAATGGGGGATTTTGGGGGAAACTCAAAAATTTCAAATACAAAGACCCATCGAGTGACCCCTCATTTTGAAAGTCCTGGTAAAAAAAACCCACAACGCAAACTATAGGTCTATATCTCAATTCAGTAAAAAATGGTAGCCAATTGAAATTATCAGAAGTTAAATTTAACTTACAGCTTTCCAAGTCTGGAGACCCCCTGTAAATTTTGTAATGGCTCACACTAGGAAAACTAAACTCTACACACCTTTTTGGCATGTTATGAAGTACTTTTTAAGCCTAATATCCACTTGGTTCCCAAACCCAAAATGGGGGATTTTGGTGGAAACTCAAAAATTTTAAAAGTTAAGCCCCACCGAGTGACCCCTCATTTTGAAGGACCTGGTAAAAGAAAACTAACAACACAAACTAGAGGTTTCTATCTCAATCCAGTAAAAAATGGAAGCTGATTGAAATCTTTAGAAATCAGAAATACTTGCAATTTTATATTCAATTGGCTGCCATATTTTACTGTGTTAAGATAGAAACCTCTAGTTTACGTTATTAGTTTTCTTTTATTATGACCTTCAAAATGAGGGGTCACTCAATGGGGCTTTCCATTTGAAATTTTTTAGTTTCCCCCAAAAATCCCCCATTTTGGGGATGTACACGAAGAGAGAATTTCAATTGGCTGTCATTTTTTACTGGATTGAGGTATAGACCTCTAATTTGCATTGTTGGTTTTCCTTTACAAAGACCTTCAAAATGAGGGGACACTCGATCAGTCTTTCCATTTGAAACTTTTGAGTTTCCCCCAAAATCCCCCATTTTGGGGATGTACACCAAGTGTCGGTTATGCCCAAAATGTACTTCATAACATGCTATAAAGGTGTGCCGAGTTTAGTTTTTCTAGTATGGGCCATTAAAAAATAACAGGGGGTCTCCACACTTTTTACTAACCCTGTATAGATATTTCCATAAATAAGACATATTTATTCCCAATTTAAATAACATTAGATTTAACGAGTGCTTAGGTTTGCTGCTACGGGGAAGGTAAACAGTGTTTTTACACCAAACGTCAATAGTATAGGATGAAATAAATATATTTGCCAAATTTTATCAACATATATCCATAAACAAGTAAACTACAACAGTTTTCATTTTCTCCATAAGAATAACATGGGAATTTTAAATTTGCACTTTTTTGAATTTTCTCCGTTACCATTAGGCATACAACAATGCTTCAACGTACTAAATTATTTCTTTTTTTAAGCCCTACAAAATGGTTGGGAAACAAATTCCAAAATTTTATGTTTTTAGGGTCAAAAATGGGAAAAATCCATTTTCCCCCTATAAAACCCCCCATAAACCTCCGTTCCCATGTTCCCATGGTTCGATCATGCTGGTTTGTGAACTTGTTTGAAACAAATTTAGGTTTACACGTTTATACCAAATTTCATCAAAATCAGATTACTTTTGTTCGAGTTATCGTGCTAATGGACACACACACACATATACATATATAAATATACAGTGTTTCAGAATTTGTGTCGGATATTTTAGGGTATTGTTCCTGGGTAAGAAACAAATCCAAATATCATATTAAAATTGACCGGAAGTCCTTAGTTACTCACACAGCCTCCATTTGGTTTTTTCGCTTATTAATTGTTTTCTAAAAAATGGTAACAGATACGAAATTGAAACTTTGTAAAAACATTTATGATAACTACACAAAAATACAAAAAAAATGAACATTTTAAAAATTCATACAACAAAATGGCAGCTATTTAAAATTTTGTTTCTTAAATTACTCAAAAAACCGTTGAGTTTACAAAAAAATTACAAATCGATTGACACCTTAATCTTTAAGATTGGATGAATATTAACTGAGATACTATGGCAGCTTTAGTAATACGTGCCCGCTGGAGGTTAGATGTAGTGCATGCCGTGGCATGCGGCCTTTAGTCTGCCACAACAATGCAACAGTCTGCGTCTGCTTTGAAAGTTATTTTTAAACTATTTTAGATTATTTCAAACAATAATAAAATGTTACATAACCCCAAAAGTGTCTTTTTCAATTATCCATCATTAGGATGGCTTAAAAATTGCACAGCTTTTTACTGTTTTTAAACTCACACTTAGGCTACGGCCACACGGGCGTTTTTTCACGCGGCAAAATTAGCTTATTTTCACGCTGCTTGAATCCCCGCTGTTGTATGCCACACGTGCATTTTTTTCACGCAGTTAAATTTAGCTTATTCTTACGATGGATGAAGTCCAGGAGCGTCAAAATGCAGTGGGAACCCGCAGTTGATTGACGGATTCACGTAATTATGTTGTATATCTTCCTCATGGCCGGAATAGTAACCTTGTTTCCGACTAGTGAACAAGAAATATGAATGGTATATTAATTTTGATACGAAAACAACACTAAAATCATTTTATGTTGTTAACTTTTCATTTAATTATATATATTTAGTTTAAAAAAATAAGTATAATATAAATATTTTATGACAAGATTTTCATCAGATCTTGAATATTCTACTACATAAATACCTCTTTAAATTTTTTAGTCCAACTAAATTCCTTTCCTTTTAGTAATAAATTATTAAGTGGTCCAGTAAGGTCAACCTATGTTTAAAATAAAACGTGTAGTCCTACTGTGTGATTGGCTAGACCCAAATATTTTACGCTATCCTGGAAAAAAAATTATGTACATTTATCTTTATTTTAACTTGCTAAGACGACTTGATCAAAGCTGCGTGTTGCTCCCGCTTGTGTGGCCAGGGACAGAGCGTGAAAACAAGCTTCAAAAATGCACCCCAGTCCATTCTTCTGCGGGCCCGCGGCGGGTGATTTTGCAGACGTGCCGCATCTGCGTGAAAATACACTTCGTGTGGCATACCTCATTACATTTAATGCTGCCCATATTTCTCGCGTTTGTTCACGCTGCGTTCTTGCGTGAAAAAAAGCCCGTGTGGCCGTAGCCTAAACACCCAAACTTATTAAATCAGCTGTGGTGAAAGTCAACATACTTGTTTACAAACTAATCAGCTGATTTTATTTTGTCTGAAGATGTTATCACTTACTTTTAAAGTAAGTGTAAAAAGTTAGAGGAACTGACTACATTGACTAAACAATAACATCTTCAGACAAAATACAATCAGCTGATTAGTTTGTAAACAAGTACAGTATGTTGACTTTAACCACAGCTGATTAAAAAAATTAGGGTGTTTAGTGTGAATTTAAAAAACAGTAAATAGGTGTGCAATTTTTAAGCCATCCTAATGATTGATAACTGATTTAAAAAAAGACACTTTTGGAGTTATGTAATATTTTATTATTGTTTGAAATCATCTAAAATCGCTAAAAAATAACTTTCAAAGTGGACGCAGACTGTTGCATTGTTGTGGCAGACTAAAGGCCGCATGCCACGGCATGCACTACATCTAACCTCCAGCGGTCACGTATTACTAAAGCTGCCATATCTCAATTAATATTCGTCCAATCTTAAAGATTAAGGTGTCAATCAATTTGTAATTAAATTATCTTAAAAAAGTTATCCTTGTAAATTTTTTGTAACTCAACGGTTTTTGAGTAATCTAAGAAACAAAACTTTAAATGGCCGCCATTTTGTTTTATGAATTTTAAAAATGTTCATAATTTTTTTGTAGCTTTGCCTAGTTGTCATAAATGTTTTTACAAAGTTTCTATTTCGTATCTCTTACTACTTTTAGAAAACAATTAATAAGCGAAAAAACAAAATGGCGGCTATGTGAGTAACTAAGGACTTCCGGTCAATTTAAATATGATCTTTGGATTTGTTTCTTACCCAGGAACAATACCCTAAAATATCCGACACAAATTCTGAAACACCCTATACATAAATTGTAAATCTTACTAATATTATAAATGTGAAAGTTTGTTTGTTTGAAGTTCAATCACGCATTAACTACTGGACAGATTAAAACTTAGGCCTACACAGCTTTAGGGTGGGCCTCTCTTTGAAGTAAAAACGTTTCTTCTCAACAGATATAAAAAAATATAAAAAAAATAAAACTGATTTAATCTGCATAACACTATTAAAATCGCAGAAGTGTGAACCACAAAAGATCCACCAATACGATTTTAATTAGGGGTCTACGGTGCACCGAAAAAGTCGGTACGGTACAAGCTAATTACTGTCATCGGTTCGGTACAGCATTTTACACGGTATAAATTCGGTTCGTTACAGCCGTATTATAATAATAAATTACTTTCAGTTTCAGTTTACTATCGTAGTCAACGACAGTTGGTTCCTAGCACATAAAAGTCTTATCAGATGTTTGTTTACGATCTTCATAATTTATTACTAGGGTGATGATGCAAAAAAAACCCCATTAGCAGTCCCAAATCCTTTAACATTTTATCACGACAATAATTGTTGTATTCAAGTACTTCCAAGAACTGTTGAGTTTTATCACTTTTATTTCTTTACGACTTTCTCCAATTCTATTTTATCATAAAAATAATAGTTTTCTGATGACTGTTAAATGTTATCTCTAACTCAGTCATATTCAATTTGCTGGTGGCCATTGCCTACTGCCATAAAACTGTTTATGGCTACATATTAAACATGTAGGCCTAACTAATCTACAATCTTATTTTATAAGTTAAAATATTTGTTATAGATATTTTATCTTTCTATTGACAACCACAAGCGTAGTTGTTGTTTGCATATTTTTTGTTTTCGTTATTCAAGCCTACTCGATCTCAAATTATGTCATTACATGTTCTGTATCTTGTCTTATATTGTTAGATGTGCCTGTTTAAGGCTTAAAATGTTTTTTAGTTTCCTGTATTTTTGTGTTGTGTTGAATGTACTTTATGCAATCTAAATCTTATGAACTAGATAGTGATTTTGCTACCCTCATTGTAACCTAATCAATTTATATATAGGCCCTCCTAAATAATTACGTCTAGGCCTGGGTCTTTTGATTCTTTGGAAGAGATTTAAAATATACTAAGAAAATTCTATTGAGTCTAAGATAAACTAATGATTGATATGATTGATATTGTGGATGTTAACTTTGTAAATGAAAAGACAATAATCTTACTCTGTGATAATCCAAATTTTAGTTTAAGAAAAAAAACTTTTCAAGAGTTGTATCCATCTTATAACTAGTTTTGAAGCTGATAAAAAAATATGCTCTTTGCCATTACTTCATCATAACCTCTAGTGAACAGCTGGCAACTACACTGTCATCGTACTGAATGCTTTTAGGCCTATGTTTTTAAAAGTTTTAAAAACAACTAGACATTGTGTTGGTTGGAAATAATTTACCAGTTGTGTGAAATTATCTTGTCAATAAATGTTTCAAACATGTTTGTTCCTAAAAACTCTTATCCTATTTTTAAAACCACTTTTTTCATGGCTATACAAAGTATCTCAGAGTAAAATAGGTAAAGCCTTTATCTTAACTGTGATTTTTCTTGACACAATCCTCGTAGTAGTAAAACGTATTGTTTTAATAATGTGTGGTACAGTAATTGTTGTTAGAAAACCATGAATGTAGGATACTATCCATTTTCATAGTTATGTCAATGTATTAAAGTTAAAAATAATGGTTTGAATACAGTTCTGAGCAGAAAACCGCAAAAATATGGGTAGCCGCGTACCGTACCGATTTTGTACCGAGAACCGAGGTACAAAATATTGTACCGTACCGAACCGTACCGACCTTAAATTTTCTGTACCGCAGACCCCTAATTTTAATACTATTTAAAGATTCTCCCAAAAGCATTCTTTATATTCATCAAAAAGAAGATAAACCAGTTAACATAGGAACAATAACTCCTATGACGGACGGTATAAGAAATATGTTATTCATTGAATGATCAACCATATATTGTAACTAACGCAATAGTCATTATTGTTTCTACACTTATTTATTAGGTACTCATTAAACAATGCTAAACTAAACATTTTAAATCTAAACAACATTTTTTTATTTAAATCAAACATTTTTTATAATTTCACTCTTTTTGTCACAGATAGAAGAATTGTCATAAGCCTTTAAAGCAACCGTCGATTTCAACGGGTTTCACCTAGTTTTTATTATTTAAATTTAAGAACAAATTACCATTTAAAATAAAAGTTGTTAAGCGCAGCAACGCGCGCCGGGTAACTGATAGTATGTAATAAATTTAAAAACTGATTTCGCTACAATAAGTACAATATTTTTTGTTCATTAGATAATAGATATACTATTTATTTATTTATTTCCCACGGTTAAACCAATTTTACAAATTTGTGTACATCAAGATGGTAGCCTAAGATAGTAATAACTAAATAGATTATTGACTTATACAAACAATTGATATAGATTCAGATCAGCAATAACAGTTACACATAGGTTTCATGGTTCAAGAATAACAATTTACAATTCTAAAATGCAAAGCAATACAACCATAACAATATAATATTCAATGCAGTAGCAACAAATATAAATATAATATTAGAAATAACATAACTGTATCAGCACTTGTATAACTTTGGTTGAGAGTCCCTTATTATTTACAAGTATTTACAAGTAATTTACAAGTTTAATAAGCAAAGCACTACAACAAAACATTAATAATTATTCAATACAAAAGCAACAGATAATAAAGAGAATACTCAAAGATAACAAAATTATTTACAGCATTATATTACATGATTAAAAATACAGGTAGCAGAACAGATGACAACAATAATAGAGTATTTATTAATCATTATAGAATATATTTATTAATCAACTATTAATCATTATAGAATATTCCATGCAATCAGGATGACAAAGTAACTCAACTATTGAAGAAAATTTGAGGTACATAATAACGATACCAGTTTCTAATTACTACTAGTTTTACAAGCAATAAAATATAATAAAATGTTTTATACCTGGAAAGTAACAGGATCAAAGCAAAAGACTTCTCCCAGCCGGGTGGTTGTCCACACAGAGCCCTTGCCTGGCTTTCCTTCCAGCCCCATCATCTGACAACAAACTGAACCAGCCACCTAGGCCTTAGTACTACAGCCAACCTGCAGGCTAAGCGAATTTCCATTTACCAGTAGTGTTGGATTTTAAATTAAATCTATTTTTGATATTAGGTACATTAAGTACCTAGGGTTGTTGCTACAGGGAGGGTAATAAAGTGTTTTTTTTTTTTTTTATATGAATAGCTTAGTATAAAGTAAATACATTTGCCAAGTTTGATAAAAATATATCCATAAACAAGCAAACTATAGTGTGATTGTTGATGGAAAGCGGCTGGCTGAAGGGTCGACTCTACTCACACACACGCAAGCCTCACACACACAGACGCAAGGGATAAGGATGGACCATTGACCTGCCGCGCAAGTCATCGCTGGCTCACGGAAATTAAACTATCAATTTTTTAATTTTACGTTTGTTATAAAATCTGGTAACGCTTTTGACTTCAGCTCAAAATGCTTAGTAAAATGATACCAAACAATATATATTTTGCTTACAAAGTGTAAAAGCTACGAATATTTTAACACATTTTTATTAGCTAGCTACTTGTCATAATCATTTCGTGTTTGGACTCATTTTTCATTGAATTAAACAACAAATTTATTAACACTAACCACTTTACTGTATATCTAACATCAAATGAATTGCAATTTTGAGGTATTATACATATTTCTACTTAGTGAATAGGGGATCGGGGCTTTCAGGCAATTAGGACGGTGGTGAGTGTGCGTGCGTGAGTCGGGTCCCTCGCAGGTAGGGCTGAGCTCCAGCCGCACTCCGGTAAAAATCAGACTATACAACAGTTAACTTATTCTCCATAAGAATAACAGTGAAGTTTTAAATTTACTATATTTTTCAATTTTCTCTGAAACCCACAACCACACAAAAACATTTCAATATACTACATTATTTGTTTTCTAAGCTCTTTGAATGGTGTTAAGAGAAATTGGGAAATGTTATGTTTTAAGGGTCAAAAACAAGAAAAACCCAATTTTCAACCCAAAAAACCCCCCATAACACTTTGATTCCATAGTCCGATCATGCTGATTTGCGAACTCATTTAAGTTTATCCTGCCCTACACCTTCAAGCCAAATTTCATCAAAATCGGATAAAAATTACCCAGGTTATCGTGTTCACGGACCATACTTGGGAATAACGAATAGAAGTTCTAACGAGTAGCGATATTCGTTAGTTTTTTTTGGCTAACTTCTACTTTATTCGTTAGTTTTTTAAAGTGCTGGAAACAACTTCTATTCAGTTAGATTTATAGGCGACTTGTGATATGATCATATTTTTTAAGGTTGTATACGAACCTTAGGGAGCAATTCTGTAGCCTGTGAAGTATTGTGATCTGTTCCTGTGTTAAACTGTATCCAAAAACAGGTAGGCTGTAATTTAAAGTAGGGAAAATCAGGGATTTGACCAACCTCAACTTGATGTTTGCTGGGAGCAATGTTCTAAACCTATTAAGCACTTTTCATTTTCCGACAACATGTTTGCTTATCTGTTTTACACGGCTAGAAAAAGTCAGTTGTGAGTCAATTGTCACACCAAGAATCTATATATTAATTTGAAACTGTTTTTCTTTGTTATAGCTATTTTGAGAGAACGGCTAGGCGTAGAAACTCGGTAGGGGTGTCTAAAGAAAGGTCTTGGTCTGTTGATGAGCCATCAAAAGAGAAACGTGGTAAATTCCCTAAGGGCTCTGCCCCAGTGGCCTTTAAAGTCCCATCCCATGTTATTCTTATGGAGGAAAACGGGGTTTTTGTCACAGCTAATTTGAGAGAACGGCTGGGTGTAGAAACTTGGTAGGGGTGTCTAAAGAAATGTATTGGTCTGTAGGTGAGCCCTTAAAAGAGAAACAAGGTAAATTTCCTTGGGACTCTGCCCCAGAGGCCTTTAAAGTTCACTCTGCAATTTTGTTTACACTACGACCATATGGATGATTTTACACTACTTTTAATGAACCAGCTGTTAATATTAAAATTGTACTCAAAGTTCTACTGAAACTGTCAAAATTTAATGTTTACATTATTATTTATGATTTTAAATTGATCCTCCACTGCATGGCAAGTTTTTTATAGTTTCAACAAAATGATAAATTTATGATACGTTTTAAATGTTTTGATCAAAAATATATGCTTTATTGCTCTTAGAAAATTTTAAATTATGAAATAAGTGTTACATATCAATTTCAAAGGAACATAATTATTTCTTATCGGGTTAGCTTATATATATTGTAAGGTTGGAACTTACCTTTCTTTTGCCTACTTTCAATTACCATTTATTTTTGAATTCAAGAAAGAACACCAGAAATTCATTAATTGGTATAAAAGTTTTTGACAATCGGGTTAAAAATTGTGTCATAGATGAGTACGTTGAGGATGAGAGCTGTGTTCAAGTTTTGGAATAGACTAACTACGGGAGTATGTTTCATCTATGGTTTTGGTGAAGTAGGTGAACCAATGTCAATTCAGGTATTTAAAAAGATGTGTACAGGGTTTTTACTTTGCTGTACACATGTAGCTAGGTCGAACAACGCATCTAAACCTCACTACATACAAAGCATTCGGAAACACAACAGTGTCATCACATTTCATCGCATTTGCATAATTTTTTACCAAGGCTGGACTAGGTTATGCATTTGGTTCCGCAAATGTTCAAGATTTGTGATCAAATTTCCTACAATTATGGTTCATTCCATCCACGAAATACATGCACAGCTTTATGTTATCGGTCTGGCCAAGGCGAAACTATCCCATAAGTAAATGAATTATAAAGTAAGAACAGGATGATTTAATACATGGGTCGATGTGGCAAGAGAAGGAATTAAAATTGCTTCGATCGAAGTAAGAATCTTACTGCTTTCTAGAGAATCAGATATTTTTATCAAATACAAAAAAAATGATTTAATATGCTGATAAAATTCTGTATTTTTATGACCAAAGATGAAGATTTACTTATTAATCCGGATACAATCTGAATGATTTTCCTAAAGCAGATTGAATTAGTTGTTAGTAATAAATATTGACTCTTTCCGTAACATGATAGACTAATTATATGAACTCATTCTCCCATATATAGTGAAAGTGGCTTTGACATGAAACAAACTAATGAACAAACAATTATAAGACTCCTAAAAAACCTTTTGGGCAACCTAAAGCCAATAAAAAGGTAGGAAATATTGTGTTAAACGAATTCACCAATCACGTTTTTTAGGGAACACAATCGTCATACTTATTATTATGCTTATCCTCCCTTCATTTAACTAAGATTTTAATGACTTCACTCTATCTATCGCAGTTAGCTGAATTTACATAAAACCTCAAGATTAACTGTCGATTTCGACGGGGTTCTACTAGTCTTAATGCTTTTGGGAATTGAAAGCTCTGAGTTATTAACTGTGACTTTGATGCTGTGTTTTTCCAGCTGCTCATAGATTGCTGCATTGGCAAAGTGCATAGTGGAACATTTTTCAGGGTTTAGCTTTAATCCATGATCCTTAGACCATTCACAAACTTTTGAAAGGTTCCACTCCTCATATGCTGTAATGCTTCCCCAACCAAAGTAGGCTGGTATGATAACAAGATTTGGCAGCCATCAGCATTAGAATACATAATCCCGAAATCCAATAGTGATTCAATACCTACTATATACCGATTGAACAAGATAGGACAAAGACAACTTCCCTGGGGAACACCGACTGTCTTTGCCAGTGACGACGAGAGCTGATTGCCCACTTTTGTGATCTGTGATCTGCCACTCAATTATGTGGCCATCCACTCTAGAGCCGTACAGTCAAATCTGAAATATTTTAACTTTGAAATCAACAAGCTATGGTTTACAGAATCAAACGCCTGTGTATACTCTAACGACGACAATACGCTGCACATCTTATTATTTTTGGCTTTGTAAATTTCATCAATCATATTAAGCAAAGCTGTGCATGTACTGTGTCCCCTTCTAAAACCAGATTGGTTATCTAAAATCTGCTCTGCATCAATAAAATGCGTTATCTGGTCCACAACAAGTCAGAGTAAATTTAGCACATCGTCTTCTTATTGCTTTCATGAATACAATATACAATAATTACATTCAAAAGCCAACATTCGCTTTAATCAGTTTCGTGGTTTATGTGGATGTCATACTAACTCACAAACCTCAACACTTTCCCAATAATATCCAAATTGCGTTAAGAATTATGTTCAAATCTGATTAAAATATATCTATATATTAATTTGAAACTGTTTTTCTTTGTGACAGCTGATTTGAGAGAACTGCTGGGCGTAGAAACTCGGTAGAGGTGTCTAAAGAAAGGGTTTGGTCTGTAGATGAGCCATCAAAAGAGAAACGTGGTAAATTCCCTTGGGGTTCTGCCCCAGTGGCCTTTAAATTCCCATCCCATGTTATTCTTATGGAGGAAAAACAGGTTTTTGCCATAGCTAATTTCAGAGAACGGCTGGGCGTAGAAACTTGGTAGGGGTCTCTAAAGAAAGGTCTTGGTCTGTAGATGAGCCATCAAAAGAGAAACGAGATAAATTCCCTTGGGGCTCTGCCCCAGAGGCCTTTAAAGTCCCCTCAACAGATCTGTTTACATTATGACCATATGTATAATTTTACACTACTTTTAATGAACCAGCTGTTAATTTTAAAATTGTATTTTAAAGGTTAAGTGTTATGAGCATTTACTGAAACTGTCAAAATTAAATGTTTACATTATTATTTATGATTTTAAAATTGATTCTTCACTACATGGCATGCTTTTTATAGTTTGAACAAAATGACAAATTTATGATATGTTTTAAATTTGTTGTTCAGAAATCTATGCTTTAATGCACTTAAAAAATTGTATATTATAAAATCAGTTGGACTTATCAATTTAAAAGGAATAGATTACCATCCCTTATAGTTCAAGCAAATATGTCCAAATTAGGAAAAATAGAGGAACAAATCTATGTATTCCCAATTTTTTCAAAAATGTGTCGGGGAGGGTCCCCTAATGAATATAT